TATGTACTGAAGAAGAGGCAATAATGGTTTACCTCTGTATCATACCCACGGTGTTACATTTACCAAGCTGTGCTTAATAACGTCTTTAAGTCAGGGGAGTGGCTCTCGTTCCGGTATCTCCAATGCCGGCATGGCAACTTAAATTGCATGTTAAGTGGCTCTAAAAACGTATGCAGAAATACCAAGGGGCCTCAGTCTCCCTGGACCTCAGGTGGAGAGAACGTTCACCTGCCGTGACCCTGCCACAGTTGAGCATCTGGTGTGGCTGGTGATCCTTGGAGACCGCTGCTCACAGCAGGGTCCACCCCGAGGTCTCAGGCTCAGGTCAGGTCCTGCTCTGGCGGTGTCTCTGAGCATAGGGACCAAGGTCCACCTTCCTCAGACCCCCTCCCCACGTCCCGGGACCCAGCCCTCCGAGGCTCTGTCCTCTGGCACACCCACGCCCCGGCCCGGCCTCACCTGGTTGCTGGTCCTCCCGGAAGAGCAGGATGATGCCCAGGCTGGCCGCATACTCCGTGAGCAAGGACACGGCCTGGCTGGCAGGTGGGTCTTTGAGCGGCAGGCTCAGCCCTGCGGGGGGCACAGGGACCCTCGGGGCCCTCCCCATCTGTTCCCCCAAGTTTTCCCACGCCTGGGCTGCCCCCAGTTCCCCAACTCCGGCCCCTGCCCCAGGCCCACTGTCCCTCAACACCGAGACCTGGGGCTGCCCGCCCTCCGCGTGGTCCATCGCGGGCGCGGGCTCCCAGGCACCTTGGGCCTGAGGGGGTAGCGGTCGCCAGGGGCGGGGCTCGGGGCTGATCTGCAACGAGGCAGCCAGGCGGGGTTTCCTGCGGCTGCCGTCGTCAGCGCCTTGAGAAGCCGAAGCCATGGTCGCCAACAAAGATCTGAGGCGCTGGGCCCTATCTCGCGCTGCTCTCACCCTTTCACACGCGCAGGGCGGGTTCCTTCACGTGGGGACCACGTGGACAAAGCATGGTGCGCGCCACCCCTGCCACACCGCTGGCCAATGAGAGCCCTTAGATCTCTGACAGACAGTGCATCCTGCCAATGGGAAAGCTAGTCTCCCAACCGCGGCAGCTTGCGTGCTTATGGCTGAGGCCAACGTCTCACTGCCTGAACGGAAGTTCCGGCAGGTGGGTGAGGGGTTGCTCTAGCAGCTGCTTTTCTAACCGTGGGTGGTCGCGGAGCCTTGAAGGCGGGGGAAGCGGATCTGGGAGCCTCAGGTTCAGTTCCACACTCCGGCTCCTGCCGTAGGCCCCTAGGCACCTCCACATCACAGGCTGCTCAGCTGCTTCACTGGCTGAGCCTGGAGACTTCAACACAGGAATTCCGGGTTCACACTGTCAGCAGGATCATTGGAATCCACGCTATAAAAATTTCACTGCAGGCCTTTCTGAAGTCAAACAGAAGTGCTCTCAAGCCAAGAATTAGCCATTTGATGCAAAATGTAGCCTGGCGTGGTGGCGCACGCCTATAGTCCCAACTACTTAGGAGGCTGAGGCAGAAGAATCACTTGAACCTGGGAGGCAGAGGCTGCAGTGAGCTGAGATTGCGGCACTGCACTCCAGCCTGGGCAACAGAGCAAGACTCCATCTCAAAAAAAAAAATTTTGTTTAATAGCCATTTGACACTCTGCCTTTTTCCCCCCTAAGAAGGGATTTTGAGTTGATTCATAAAAATACCACAAGATAACAATTGTTTAAAGTGAGGAGCTAGAGATCAAGAGAAATAGGAAAACTAAGATGAAGACAGGGATGAAGACAATTTACACGAGGCTTACTGTGATGCAACGCGTATTTGCTTGAAGGAGGCTGCAAGTTTAACTGAGTCTTACAGTAGCCGCTTACTTGGGAAAGCATGACCAGTGTCTGTAAGATTTGTCACAATGCTTGCTGCTGCTGCTGCTGCTGCTGAAGCTGGGCCTGTCAGCTCTCACCAGGATTGTGACAGTGAGGATGCTGGGGCATATAAGGAGCAGGTGGTGGAGTCCTCCCAGAACCTTTGACTTGGGAGGAGCAGGTGTGGTGGGCTGGGTAGTCGGCCTCCTCAACATGTCAAGGATTGACATCAGGAAGAACAATTCCATTTTGTGTGTGTGTGCAGCCCAGAGAGTAGGATGAGGCCCAGGAGAGTGAAGGGACAGCATAGCAGATGTCCAGAAATGGACTGAGGGCTGCACATATCCACAGAGAGACTTCCACAAAGTCATCAAACCCAGTAACACCCCAAACACTCACCAACAGGAGGTTGCGTGAACAAGTAAATGGTGGTATATTCATACAATGGAACATGACTCAGTAATTTAAAAAGGAACCAACAGCTGTGTGCACAACACAGGTGAATCTATTAGGCACAGGGCGCAGAAGAAGCCAGACGCATCCTCTCCATGATTCCACTTATGTAAAGTTCTTGAACTGGCAAAACTAATCTATGGTGATAAGAGTCCGAATAGTGGTTCCTTCTTGACGGAAGTATTGACTGGAAAGTGGCGCCAGGGAATTTTCTTTAAAAAAATTTTTTTTTTGTAGAGACGGGGGTCTTGCTGTGTTGCCCAGTGTGGTCTTAAACTCCTGGACTTAATCAGCCCTCCCACCTCGGCCTCCCAAAGTGCTGGAATTACAGGCATGAGCCACTGTGCCTGGCTGGAACTTTCTTGAGTGATAGAAATGTACTCTGTCTTGATCTGGGGGGTGTTTATGTGGATTTCTATGTATGTATTAATAAAAACTCAATGAGTTGTACATTTAAGACTTGTGTGCTTTACTGCATGTTAAGTATATGTCAGTTACAAAAACAAATTGATAATGGCTTATTCAGATGAAGGAAGGAAGAAATGGAATTGGCCTCCCAGTGCCAAAGCTGGATAGGTATTTTATAAGGGTAATATAAAATATTAGTGTGGTAGGCAAAATAATGGTTCCCCCAAAGATGCCTACAGCCTAATCCCCAGAACCTATGAGTATATTATTTGGCAAGGGGGCATTAAGGTTGCAGGTGGAAGTAAGGTTGCTAATCAGCTGACTTTAAAATATAGGGCTCATGCCTGTAACCCCAGCACTTTGGGAAGCCGAGGTGGGAGGGTAGCTTGAGCCCAGGAGTTCAAGACCAACCTGGGCAACATGATGAAATCCCATCTCAACAAAAACTACAAAAACAAAAATTAGGCTGGGCGCGGTGGCTCACGCCTGTAACCCCAGCACTTTGGGAAGCTGAGGCAGGTGGATCAAATGGCCAGGAGTTCAAGACCAGCCTGGCCAATATGGTGAAACCCTGTCTCTACTGAAAATAGAAAAATTAGCTGGGTGTGGTGGTGGGCACCTGTCGTCCCAGCTACTCGGGAGGCTGAGGCAGGAGAATCGTTTGAACCTGGAAGACAGAGGTTGCAGTGAACCAAAATCGCACCACTGCAGTCCAGCCTGGATAACAGAGTGAAACTCCGTCTCAAAAAAAAAAAAAAGTAGCCAGGCATGGTGGCGCGCGCCTGTAATCCCAGCTACTCGGGAGGCTGAGGTGGGAAAATCACCTGAGCCTGGGAAGTTGAGGCTGCAGTGAGCCATGATGGTACCACTGCACCCTAGCCTGGGCAATGGAGTGAGACCCTGTCTCAAAAAAATAAATAACATAGGAAGATTATCCTGGATTACCTGGGTGGGCCCACTATAATCACATGGGTCCTTACATGGGAAAGAGGGAGACAGAAGAGTCAAAACCAGAGAGATGGCCTCATGAGAAGAATCCAACTGGCACTGCTGGCTTCGAAGATGGAAATGGGTCATGAGCCAAGGAACACAGGCAGCTTTCCGAAGCCAGAAAAGGCAACACAGTGGACTCTTCCTTAGAACCTCCCAAAAGGAACACAGCGCTGCTGACACTTTTAGTCCAGGTTAAAACTTCCAGAAAAAAAACAATATAGGCCAGGCACGGTGGCTCATCCTGTAATCCCAGCACTTTGGGAGGCCTAGGCAGGCGGATCACTTGAGGTCAGGAGTTCAAGACCAGCCTGACCAACATGGTGAAACCGCATCTCTACTAAAAATACAAAAATTAGCCGGGCATGGTGGCAGGTGCCTGTAATCCCAGCCACTCGGGAGGCTGAGGCAGGAGAATTGCTTGAACCCAGGAGGCAGAGGTTGCAGTGAGCCGAGGTCGCGCCTCTGCACTCTAGCCTCCATCTCAAAAAAATAAATAAAGATACAGATGACAGCTGAGAATTTGGGAATTGATTATTTAAAGCAAAGGTTCTCAAAGCACGGCCCCTGGACCAGCATCATCTGGGAACTTGCTAGAAATACAGACTCTTGGGCCACATCCCAGACCTACTGAATCAGCAACTAGGGGGGCAGAGGTAGGGTGGAGCCTAGCAAACTTGTAACAAGTCCCCCAGGTGGTTCTAAGGCTCACTCAAGTTTGAGAACTACTATGTTAGGATAATGGTAAGGTTTATGACTGGACAGTGGTTCTTACAGCATGGGCCCCAGATACACAGTATCAGCATCACCTGTGAACTTAGGCAAATTATCAGGTCCCACCCCAGACTCACCGAATTGGACACTGTGTTTTAACAAGCCCCCCAGGTGCTACTGCTGACGCACACTAGCTTCAGTTTGAGGACCACTGCCTAAAGCTCTCCCTGCATGACCACCCCTGGAAAAGACTCACTCTCAGGAGGTATTTGCCCCCTTATTTGTGAAGCCCGCTTCTTGGGATTTAAGGACAATCAATAGGATACCTACTGACTAATACAGTGTCTGGCTTATAGTAGGTGCTCCGTGAGAGTTCGTTAAATGATTAATTTAATACAACTCTGAGGAAATTGGTGAAGCAGATGTGGGATTCGGACCTAAGGCCACCCGGCCTCCACTATTGGAACTCGAGGGAGCTTTATTTCCGCTGCCCACGCGCCGCCTGCACGCCCGTTCCCTCTCCTCCCGGGAGGGGGCGCGCCAGGACCCTAAGAGGCCTGGCTGGGAGGTGGGACTTCCTGCCTCACCAGCAGGCACTTCCGGTCCAAACCGGAAGACCGTGAGTAGCTGCGGCGGCGCTGACCCATCCTGAGTGCCAAAGCTGGGCTTCTACTTGAGATTTGCCTCGTGGTGTCAGGGTCCGGCAAGCATCACGCCGAGGCCCATTTTCCAGACGACTGCGACGAGACCAGGGTCACGTAAGTGCATGCGCCCCCTCCGCGCGGACTGGGCATGTTCGAGAGGAGTGGACCCGCAGATGTAGGAGGGGAGGGACTCCCCCAATCCCCTGTCCTCGCGGCTGGCTCACGTTTCGCAGTCCCCAGCCTGTCGTTAGTGCGAACCCGACTGAGTCCTGTAGCCTGGGAGGTCTAAAGGGGCCTGGAGAGCCCGCAGCGAGGGCGGGAAGCCGGCCGGGGAAGTCGAGGCTGCCTTGTCTGAGGCCTTTTGTGGGGTAGTGCGCTCCACCAGCCCTCTCCGCCTGCCTAGGATCGTTTCAGGCTATGCGGTTCCAAGAGAAAATATTTTTGTTTCTATTTTACTTTTGAGATAGAGTCTTGCTCTGTCACCCAGACTGGAGTGCTGTGGCATGATCCCAGCTCACTGCATCCTCTACCTCCCAGATTCAAGCGATTCTCGTGCCCCAGCCTCCTCGGTAGCTGCGATTACAGGTGTGCACCACCACGCCCTGCTAATTTTTGTATTTTTAGTAGAGACAAGGTTTTACTATATTGGCCGGGCTGGTCTCAAACTTCTGGCCTCAGGTGATCCACCCGCCTTGGCCTCTCTAAGTGCGGGGATTACAGGCAGGAGCCACCGCACTCGGCCAGAGGGAAAAGATTTTTGTTTAGCGAGACTCTAATGCTAGCGTTTGCATTTGGGTGCATGCGAGAGCAGTGGTTCAGAGCTCTGCCTCTGAGTCGGATGGGAATCAAGTCTTGGATGTGGCAGCTAACAGCTGTTGAACTAAAGTTCTTGCTGAGCCTTGATTTCCTGAACTCCGTAACAGGGGCTGCAGTAGAAGAGTGCAGCATTTAGCTTGCGCCTGGCAGATAGATGTTGGCGCTTGGTCAGTGAGAGCTGCTGTTATTTTTGCCCCTGTTATTTTTGTTAATTAAAAAGGAGGGATGCTATGGCTGCTCATACTTCTAGAGGACTATATTTACCAAAGCCTTGTGATATAATTTTTTTTTCTCGAGATGGAGTTTCACTCTTGTTGCCCGGGCTGCAGTGCAATGGCGCGATCTTAGCTCACTGCAACCTCCGCGTCCCGGCTTCAAGGAATTCTCCTGCCTCAGCCTCCCTCGTAACTGGGATTACAGGCATGCATCACCACACCTGGCTAATTTTGTATTTTTAGTAGAGACCAGGTTTCTCCATGTTGGTCAGGCTAGTCTCGAACTCCCGACCTCAGGTGATCCACCCGCCTTGGCCTCCCAAAGTGCTAGGATTGCCGGCATGAGCCGCTGCGTCCAGCCCCTTGTGATAGAAATTTATTTTTATTCAACCCATAGTGCATTTTCTGGGAGGCACTGTGCTTGACAGTAGGAAGACAATGCTGAGATGCAGTCCGTGGCTGTGGAGTAACTCGAGCGTCTTCGGGGTGTAGCCTGTAAATGTATGATGACGTTTCGAGCTGTAAGAGAGGCTGCCCCTTTCCGTCTATCTGACTCCATCTCTACTGCTCTCCACCTCGCTCACTCTGGCTGCCTCGTTTCTGACAGACTTCACTGCTCTAGGATTTTCACAGTTGTTGATCGTTTTGCCTGGAACCCTCTCCCCATTTGTGTATGTGGTTCTCTCCTCCACTGGGTTCAGGCTGTGCTCAAACGCCACCTTCTCAACGAGGCTTTTCCTGGCTGGCTTTGCTGAAACCGTGCCCTCAGCCCATTACCAGATCCCTTCTCCTGGACGGGTGGTTTGCTTTAATACAGTTCTCATTACTGCTTGGCATTGGGCTACATATTTTTTTTTTTAATCTGCTTTTTGTTATCTGCTTCCTCAAAGAGCATATGCTTCCCATCATGCACTTTTCTCTCCGCAGGAACCCTGGCGCCCCTTACCAGCTTCCAGTTTCTCGAGGTGGCCAGTGTGGTGCTTGGTCCTTATTTCCGGGATGGACTTCCCCCGCTCCCTCCGCCCCGCGTTATTTATGACTGGACCCCTTGGTCTGAGCGACATCCCTGACCTCTCTTTCATGTGCAGCTGGCAACATGCGCTGACTGTGCCAGAGACCCAGCCCCAGAACTCAGAGGTGAGGATGGAGGCAGGGGCCCTGGCAGCTCCAGGGGCACCCCTTCCTGGGTCCCCTGTCTCACATTCATACCAGTTGAAAGGCCACAGAGTGGGGTGGCATTCACACAAGTCTGCTGAGACACAGGCTGTGCCACCTCCTCTGGGGTATGTGGGCTACCCTGCCATCCCTAGACAGATGCCCCTACTATGCCGGATGCCATATGAAACCCTGGAAATGCTGCCTGAATCAGTCGGTTGACCCCTTCCTTCCTGGAACGGAGAGCTGAGTTGAGCGAAAATAAACAAGTGAACTTTATCCAATGGATAAGGTGTTTACAAAATGGGCTCAGAGCTTGGAATGAAACCAGAAGGATGCCGAAACAGCGTAGTAGGAATGGGAGAGGGGAGGATAGACCTGCCAGGGTTTCTGGTGCCTCTGGAGGGACACTGGCCCTTTGCTTAGAATCCTCAGCCCCCTAGTTCCCCTTGGAAACACCCTGTCTAGGAATGAAGCCTGGCAGAGGCAAATGGATGAGCAAATAAAAAGACAGAGAGTGGAGTGGGGGCTTGGGGAACAGGGGTCAGGGATGGCCTCCTTATGAGGGAAGGTCTGACATCAAATTGGGGCTCCTCTAGGAGTCTGGTTTGCTAGATCTGTGTCATTTGAGCTGAAACATCTCAGGCCAGCCCAGCAAAGGGAGGTGGAACTGCCTGCCGGGCTGCCAGAGTGACTGCAAGGTCTCCTGAATGGAAGTGAGGTTATGTGGGATGTGGACCAGCCACTGGTGGCATGAGGGTCTTCCTTCTTTGAGAGCCAGCACAGGCGGAGGTCAGAAACATGAACTCTGGGGTCAGGCTGCCTGGGTTCACATCCCAGCTATTCTCTTTACCAGCTCTGTCATCTGGGGCAGGTGGTAGTGTGACAATGCCAGTCATCCCAACTTCACAGGATTGTTGTGAGGACTGGATGAGTTGATAAAAGATGAATACCTGCGCAGAGCCTGGCCCGGGGAAGGCACTCATCATGATACTGTCATTGTGATTGTCTTCCCTTTAGAACGGGGCACTGCATGTGACCAAGGACCTGCTGTGGGAGCCGGCGACCCCTGGGCCTCTCCCCATGCTGCCTTCCCTCATCGGTGAGGGTCTCATTCCTCCAGGCTCATTCCACACTGCTCCACCTATTCTTCCCGCGGCTCCCACTCCTGACACCTTCCTCTCCCTGCTAAGCCTGTGCTCGCTCAGGGCCCTTGGATGCCTCCAGTCGCCCAGGGCATCTGGCTGCACTCCTGTGCCCTCCCCAGCCCTTTCCATAACCACCTCCTCAGATCCCTGGGACCCTGGCCTGACTGCCCGGGACCTGCTTTTCCGCGGAGGGTACCGGTATCGGAGGCGACCCCGAATCGTGCTGGATGTTACTGAGCAGGTGAGTGGGCCCACGGGGGACAGTGCTGCGTAGCCTGGAGACTATGTTTAGTGACCTGGCCTCCTCCTCTCCCCAGATCAGCCGGTTCCTCTGGGATCATGGAGACGTAGCCTTTGCACCCCTGGGGAAGCTGATGCTGGAGAATTTCAAGCTGGAGGGAGCAGGGGTGAGTGGCCCATGACACCAGGGGTAGGGACTCCCTGCTGTCCTTCAGGGGTGAACTTGAGGGTGTGTGAGCTTGACGAGGCCTTTCCATGCAGAGCCGCACTAAGAAGACGACAGTGGTCAGTGTGAAGAAGCTGCTTCAGGACCTCGGTGGACACCAGCCCTGGGGGCAAGTGGCTAATGAGAAAGGAGGAGATGGATAGACGTAGCTGGTGGTGGGGATATAGGAGGGGCTAGGACACACATCCAGGTTTCTGTCATACCCACTTCCCCCCTCTCCCTGCAGTCTGAGCTGTACTTTCTTATACCAGACTTCCAACTCCAAATCATCTCAGGGGAAAGCAGATTTAAATTTGTGGACTTCAGGCATGGCTGCATCCAAGTGTTCAAATACTATTCGTAGAGCTGCGTCTCTCTTTACTCTGTCGTCCACTTGCCTCTTCCTGCACAGTTCCTAGACAGGCTGTCTGTAGGGGGCAGCAAGATGGCTTATGATCTAAGGAAAGAGCCAATGTCCTTCCTGAGGCACCAGAAGAAAGGAGTTTGGTTGGCTTGGCTTGGGTCTCACACCTGTCTGAACCAGTCGCTGTGGCAAGGGCAATGGAATATTGTTGATGGCCAGGTCTGGGTCACATGATTGCTTCCAGGGCATGGGAACAGGATGGGGTGGTTTCCCAAAGGAAGAAGTTCTAGGTGAATAAGAAATGTGTCCACTGCACTTGGCCTCCTTGGGATGGGACCTGTCCTCCCCTGAGCGCCACTGAGTGATCCACCTGCTGTTCTCTGGTCCCCAGGTGTCCCTGGGCTTACCTCAGCAACCGACAGCGCCGCTTCTCTATCCTTGGGGGCCCCATCCTGGGCACATCAGTGGCGAGCCACTTGGCAGAGCTGCTGCACGAGGAGCTGGTGCTGCGGTGGGAGCAGCTGCTTCTGGATGAGGCCTGCACTGGGGGTGCACTGGCCTGGGTGCCTGGAAGGACACCCCAGTTCGGGCAGCTGGTCTACCCTGCTGGAGGCGCCCTGGACAGGCTGCGTATCCTTTCTTGCGAGACAGGAGATCCCGGCGGGCTCCTGTCTGGTGGAGGAGGTGCTCTTGGCATGGTCCAGGAAAGGGCAGGAATGTGGGGCTTGCAGTGGCCACAGCTCGTGCACTGATCCTTAGTGAGAGGCCCAGATTTCCAAGAGGTTGTTCTGAGCCCAGGTGACAGTCCCCAATTCCTTGGGAATCCTGGACGCATCCAGCTTCAGGGACCTGTCCGGCAGGTGGTGACATGCACTGTCCAGGGAGAAAGTAAGGCCCTTACACATGTTCCTCCCTCACTGGCTGACCCTGCTGCCTGACCCCTGACCCCTGACCCTTTCCATCCCTCCTCAGCTCTGCTGGCCGTCCGCTCTGACTACCACTGTGCCGTGTGGAAGTTCGGTAAACAGTGGCAGCCAACCCTTCTGCAGGCAATGCAGGTGGAGAAGGGGGCCACAGGGATCAGCCTCAGGTGAGGGGGAGTCAGTCTGGTCAGTGAGGAGGGGCTGGGGGCAGGGCGAGCAGCCTGATGGGAATGCGTTTCTGCCCTGTAGCCCTCACCTGCCCGGGGAGCTGGCCATCTGCAGCCGCTCAGGAGCCGTCTGCCTGTGGAGCCCTGAGGATGGGTATTGCCGCTTCCCATGAAACCCCCCACCCTAACACACTGAACTCTGGCCCGTCACTCCCTGTTCAGCATGTCGCGACCCTTGATTGCCTTCCACATCAGCCCGTCCCCCCTGCCCATGGCTTGCCCGTCTCCCCAAGGCTGCAGCAAGTCTACAAGGACCCCGAGACCCTTGTGTTCCGGGACTCCTCTTCCTGGCGTTGGGCAGACTTCACCGCCCACCCTCGGGTGCTAACTGTGGGTGACCGCACTGGAGTGAAGATGGTTGACACTCAGGTATGGGGTGGCGGCAGGAGATCTGCCCTGACTGCGGGAGCAGCCGCAGAGCAGTGAGTCCCAGGCTGGCTGTGGCCTGGGCGAGGATGGTGTCATGGGCCTGGGACTGTGGGGAGGGCTGACCCTGTGTTTCTCTTCCAGGGCCCACCGGGCTGTGGTCTGTTGCTTTTTCGTGTGGGGGCAGAGGCTTCGTGCCAGAAAGGGGAACGTGTCCTGCTCACCCAGTACCTGGGGCACTCCAGCTCTGAATGCCTGCCCCCTACGCTCCATCTCGTCTGTACCCAGGTGAGTGGCACACACCGCCGCCCCGCCTCACCTCTGCTCTGTCTCAGATGGGCACTAGAGGCTGCTGCTTACCAGCGGCTCTGCTGGGCCCAGACAACCACCCAGCAAACCAGACTCAACCCTGGATGAATCTGTGGCCCAAACACGCAGTGGATCCCACAGCCGGTGCTAACAGGCAGGTGGGGAAGCTCTCCCAGGGCCTCCCCTTAGTAAGGGCTCCAAGGTACAGCCAGGGGTGGAACGGGGGGAGGAGCAGCCTCGGGGTGGGGCTTCCGTGCAGAGCTGGACAGTTTCTGCTGTGTAGGAGGCAGGGGCTCTGAGGGAGCAGGTCCGTCCTCCCCCCGCCCTCCTGGGGACGTTTGTAGGCATGCCTCGAGCATAGGCTCTGGGCTCAGGAGAGTGTGGGGGTGGCTGCGGGAAGGCCAGGCAGGTTTCTGCTGGCAAGGCTCCCCTACACCTCTTCTGAGCACACCTTTCCCACTTGTTCTGTCTGTCCACCTGGCTGTTGGTCAGAATCGGTGAAGGTGCCACCCACTCGGGAAGCACCTCCTGTTCAGGGCTGGCAGGTGCCGTCTGAGAGGCACTTGGAGGCTGATGGGAGATGCTGCTGCCCCTCAGGGCTCTGTACTTACCCGGAGAGCCACATGGGGCCTGGAGGGCCACTACACAGCTCAGCTCCCAGGTTCGGCCACATCCCCCTTCTTTCTCGGGCCCCAGTTCTCTCTCTACCTAGTGGACGAGCGCCTCCCCCTGGTGCCAATGCTGAAGTGGAACCATGGCCTCCCCTCCCCACTCCTGCTGGCCCGACTGCTGCCTCCGCCCCGGCCCGGCTGCGTGCAGCCCCTGCTCCTTGGAGGCCAGGGTGGGCAACTGCAACTGCTGCACCTGGCCGGTGAGGGTCTAGGCCAGGGTGGGCGGCGTGTGGGAGGTGGGGCAGTCGGGGCCTGGATGGGGCCTCAGCTGTCTGTCCTTCCTCAGGAGAAGGGGCGTCGGTGCCCCGCCTGGCAGGCCCCCCCCAGTCTCTTCCTTCCAGGACTGACTCCCTCCCTGCATTTCCTCTGCTGGAGCCTAAGATCCAGTGGCGGCTGCAGGAGCGCCTGAAAGCACCAACCATAGGTGTGCTGGGGCAGGGGAGAGAGCTTGGGGGGCGTGGTGGAAAACACCCCCTCCCCCCACTAGTCCCTGGAGGTCATTGTCATTCCCGTCACCAGGTCTGGCCGCCGTCGTCCCACCCTTGCTCTCAGCGCCCACACCAGGCCTGGTGCTCTTCCAGCTCTCGGCGGCAGGAGATGTCTTCTACCAGCAGCTCCGCCCTCAGACGGACTCTGACCATCACAGAGACTCCGGGCCTCGCAGCGACACCGAATCTGACTGTCGTGCCCCCACTGCTTCCTGGACCTCCCAGGACACTGCCGGCTGCAGCCAGTGGCTGAAGGCCCTGCTAAAAGTGCCCCTGGCTCCTCCTGTGTGGACAGCACCCACCTTCACCCACCGCCAGCTGCTGGGTAGCGTAGAGCTGCGGCGGGAGGAAGAGGAAGGGCAGCGGTCGGACGTGCTCCGCAAGGCCATGGCCCAAGGGCGGCTGCTGCTGCAGAGAGACCTGGGCTCCCTCCCTGCGGCAGAGCCACCCCCTGCACCCGAGTCAGGCCCAGAGGACAAGCTCAGTGAGCGCCTGGGGGAAGCCTGGGCAGGCCGAGGGGCTGCCTGGTGGGAGAGGCAGCAGGGCAGGACCTCAGGGCCCGGGAGACAGCCCAGGCGGCCCAAGCGCCGGACCCAGCTGTCCAGCAGCTTTTCGCTCAGTGGCCATGTGGACCCCTCAGAGGACACCAGCCCCCCTCACAGTCCTGAGTGGCCACCTGCTGATGCTCTGCCCCAGCCCCCCGTGACCCCACCCTCCCAGGAGCTGACTCCGGATGCGTGTGCCCAGGGCGTCCCCGCAGAGCGGCAGCAGATGCTCCGTGACTACATGGCTAAGCTGCCACCCCAAAGGGGCACCCCAGGATGTGCCGCCACACCCCCCTCCTCCCAGGCCTCCAGCGTCTGGACCACCCGCTCCCAGCAGCACACACCCGTCCTCTCTGGCTCTCAGCGCCCCCGGAAGAAGCCTCGAATGGGCTTCTGAGGACACAAGGTGGGCTGCCCTCAAACCCCAGAGAGCCCCTCATCCTTCCTCCGGGACCAGATGTGCCTTCCACAGTTGAAACTTAAGAAGCAGAGCTCGCCGGGTGCCGTGGCTCAAGCCTGTAATCCCAGCACTTTGGGAGGCCGAGTCGGGTGGATCACGAGGTCAGGAGATCAAGACCATCCTGGCTAACACGGTGAAACCCCGTCTCTACTAAAAAATACAAAAAATTAGCCAGGCGAGGTGGCGGGCCCCTGTAGTCCCAGCTACTCAGGAGGCTGAGGCAAGAGAATGGCATGAACCCGGGAGGTGGAGCTTGCACTGAGCCGAGATCTGGCCACTGCACTCCAGCCTGGGCGACAGAGCAAGACTCTGTCTCAAAAAAAAAAAAAAAAAAACAGAGCTCGCCACCTTCTGGAGGCCACTGTGATGATGAGCCAAGCAAGCTGGAGCCAAGCTGAAGGGATGGGGCAACAAAATATAATAGTTTCTTCTGTATTTTGTATGTTCGCCTGAAGATCATCCCAAAAGGCAGGTTGGAGGTGCTGGCAGGCCTGTGTTGCTGGGATTCTAGTCTGTGCTGGGAGACAGGGCTCCGCTGCCCCCCAGCTGTGGGGGCCTCAGGCAGGTCTCAGTTCTCGTGCCTTCCTGTCTGGTGAAATGGGGCAGTGGTGCTGGCTCCTCCTTGTGTTTGGTGAGGGTGGAATGAGGCCCCCACAGGGCTGCTGCTGAGGTGGGCATGGCGGCCGTCGGCAGCGGCTGTTTTGGGTTGCTTTGTCAATCTCCGCCACGGTCTGATGTTTTGTACAGGGAGATGCCTTGGATCCAGGTTCAGGGATTAAATAAACTGGTCAGCTGAAGATGAATTGGAATGGTCACATTTTTTAGGCTGGACAGCATCCCGCCACAGTAACTATCTGACACTGAGCTCACGCACAGAGATGATGGCTGATGTTCCTTCTCCCTCGGGACGTGGGTCTGGCACCTGTGGGCTCTCGATAGTGGCCTCTGAGGAGAGGATCATGGTCATATCATTTTGGGAGAATTCTCCGTTGTACCTCACGGACTCCCCCCTTTCTTTCCTCTCTCCCCTTCTCATTTTGATGTCTAAAGCACCAAGTCCCTTATCCTCTGAGTTTCTCTAGCTGCAGTGGAAGATTCTGCTTTCCTGTGGGGAAAAAGCCCACTGGAGATTTTGCAGGGACCTGGATCTGTCTGGTTTCTGATGACACAGTAAGAGAAAGGCCTTTTTTGATGGTGGCTGGTGAAAGGAATTGCATGTGACTCACACAAACAGGAGGTAGCCCAATCTCATATTGACTCGTGTGGGTGTTAAAATGTTTATCATGCCTAAGGGAGACATTTGTAATTAAACCATTTATGCTACATTTAACTGGGGGGAACTAGGATGCTTTTGGTGCTGGGAGTGCAGTGAGGTCCCACGTGGGCCGAGCTGGGCTGGGCAACTCCGACACACGTCTCTGAGGGTGTGGTGGCGCTCTCAGTCGGCACTGTGGAAGGAAGGGTGACCTATGCTTTCTCCCTGTCACTGTGACTCCAAGGACAGGGGGGCAGTCTTGGGGTTCAGTCCAGGCCAAATTCAGTGTCCTTGACTGGGCGTGGTGGCTCATACCTGTAATCCCAGCACTTTGGGAGGCCGAGGCAGGCAGATCACCTGAGGTCAGGAGTTCAGGACCAGCCTGGTGAACATGATGAAACCCCGACTGTACTAAAAATACAAAAATTAGTCAGCGTTGTGACGCTGTAATCCTAGCTACTTCAGAGGCGGAGGCAGAGGTTGCAGTGAGCCGAGAGCACATCACTACACTCCAGCCTAGGCCACAGTGCGAGACTGTCTCAAACAAAACAAAAATTATTCAGTGTCCTCCAGGCCTGCCCCCACCTGAGGCTCCCCGGGCTCCAGCTCAGACTGCACTTCTCTTTTCTGTGCTGGTTCCTAGAGTGAAAGAGAAGGCCACTCAGTGTTCCCGGGAAATGCACTCAAACCCTCCCGGCTTCTTGCCTGCAAGTCTGGAGTCAGTCAGGCAGCTGTCTTCAGAAAAAAGCCCGGCCACCGATGCGTGCTGGGTGAGAGTAGAATGGTCCAGGCTCCACACAGCCCCTGATTTGGGGGTGCACCTGAAGGCAGGTGCTGAATGAAAAAACAGCCCAGCTTGCTTGTCCTCAGCACTAACCAGCTGTTCCCCCAAACCACATCTGCCAGGCACATGTGCCAGCCTGCAGCATGAGGGGAGGCCCAGTACATTAAGCATGTTTTTCTGGGTCTTCTGCAGCCAGGCCTCTGGCCGCCTTCCCTGCCTGGTGCCCCTTTGCCTTCCCCACCTTGAAGGCCAGTAGGACTGGCCTGTGATTCACCCAGGCCTGGGTCACTGTGGAGCAGCCACGCCCCCCTGCGGCTGTCACCTCGCTTGCCCCACACTCCCCAGCAGTGGTGTCGGTGGTCCCCTCCAAAAGCCTTGGTCTAGAAAGGCTGAGGCCAGGGATGGTGAGGAGGGGGTGGAAATGCAGGGTCCTTAGGCCCCCGCCCCAGGAGATCTGCATGACCACAGGTGCCTTGTGACCCTCACACACAGCCAGACTTGGCTGCCCAAGAACAGGCTGGCTCGGCAGCTTTCTGGCCCAGGCTGGCTACCAGCAAATGGCAACTTCAGAGCCGTGAACTCAGGAATGGGACCTTCAGAGGATCTGTGTGGTCTGTCCCAGGTGACCCCTCCAGGAACATGAAAGCTTGGGGTAAGGCTGAGTGACCGCCCTGCCCCACCCATCCCAGGCCAGGGAGCCAACACCATCTCCACTGTGCTCTTGGCCCCATGCTGTTACCTGAAGAGGCTGCAAGGAAGTCGCTGTCCCCGTCTCCACTGGAAGTGAGTGGTGCAGCATCTCTTTGGCAGGTGGGGGACATCGGTGGCTGGCCAGGGGGGTCCTCATCGCTGAGCTCCTGGATCAGGGGTCGTGGGGACTCGGTGTCTTGTTTTGGGATTTCCAAGTCCCTCTTAGCTTCTTTTATAAAGATGCCTGTGAAGGGCGCCCGAGCCGCCTTTGAGGTGTCTTTAGAGACTGCAAATATATTTGACAGAGTGTCTGCGGGCAGGTTTTCCAGCACAGGGAGTGACGTGTAGTCCAGGTCAGGGTCACTGTCATCACTCAAGTTCGAGATGACCTCAATCTTCGGAAAGCACATATTCTATTCACAGAAGAAAAGATGTGTTTGAAAGTTTCTGTTTTCACAACAGAGTCACTCCACAATGCACCATGCCAGTTCTGCCTTTTCACCCAATGTCACAAACTGTTCTGTTGCCACATCCAAGAAAGGCCCAAGGGAACACAGGACTCTGAAAGTGAGGCCCGGGGGTGGGGTGGCCACTCCCTGGGCACGGCTCATGTCCACGCCCTTCTCTCCAGCCTCTGCTCCCCCAGCCACTGGCTATTCCACACCCTCCTGCTACCCGAGAGGATGCACCCCTGAACCCAGCTCCCCTCACAGACTCTCTAGAATTAGCTCTTTGGACAGCAGCCCCCCCGACAATAACTGTCCGTTTTCTTTGCCACCGAGCTCGCGCACAGAGATGTTGGCTGATGCCTCCTTCTCCCTCAGGGCACGGGTCTGGCACATATGGGCTCCTGGTAATCCCAGTCATGGCCTCTGGGCAGAGGGTCACGCCACTCTGAGAGAATTCCCCACCGTGCCTCACAGACTCACCCCTTTCTTTCCTCTCTCCTGTTTTCATTTCTTTCCCTCTATGTGTAGTTATATTCAGACAGACATTCATAGGATGGACATAGAAATACATCTTAACAATAGAAAGTGCTTTCAGGTAACTGCACTGTGCTCAGCTGTTACAAACCAGCAATAGATTCTCAAGGGGTTAATCATAAAATCTTAAAGAATTGAACAAGAACAAATGGCATTTCCTTCAGCAAGGTCAAAATATGGGGCATGTGGGCTGGGTGCAGTGGCTCACACCTGTAACCCCAGCACTTTGGGAGGCTGAGGCAGGTGGATCACTTGAGGTCAGGAGTTCGAGACCGGCCTGGCCAACATGGTGAAATCCCATCTCTACTAAAAATACACAAATTAGCTGGGCATGGTGGCACATGCCTGTAATCCCAGCTACTCGGGAGGCTGAGACAGGAGAACTGCTTGAACCCAGGAGGTGGAGGTTGCAGTGAGCCAGGAACAGGCTGTTGCACTCCAGCCTGGGCAACAGAGCCAGACTCTGCCTGAAAAAAAAAAGAAAAGAAAAGAAAAAGAAAAAAAGAGAATATGGGGGATTCAATGCTTTATGCACAGGGAACATTTTACTTTCAAGTTTTGGAGAGAGACTGTAAACAACCAGAATGAAGGTGGAATTAAGCTGACTGTGGGAAAATGGACTAATAACCTGGTCTTCCAGAGATTTGCCTGTTTCATCATCATCTTCCAAGTCAGGTAGGTCCTGAAAGAGCAAGTGAGCCGCACATCACCAGGGAGGCACATGCGCTGTCAATGTTCTGATAGGCATGATAAAGGCAAACATGCAGTCAACCCAGCCTTAGTTACAGTTCCTCAAATCACTCGGGTGACTCCCCTGCCTGTTCCCCACCCAAAGACACTCTAGGCACACACAAAGCAAGCGTTGCCACTTCAGGTGTCTGGATCTAATAAAAGAAAGGGAACTTGCAAGGTGTGACATATTTAAAGAATTTCCACATCTTTTTTCTGTTTCTTTATTAAGAGAGACAGTCTGTTCATCTTGGGGGAAATAATGGGACCCAAACCAAATGCACCTCTGTACAAACTAGTCCAAAAATTCTATGTGGTATAAAAGTAATATATTTTGTGTCCCCCCAAAACTGGTAGGACTTGTTTGTATTGTGGGTGTGTGTTTGGTGTCTTTGTCCATAAAAACCAGTGCGTGGTTGGATGCATGAACTGGAGCCACGCTGCCTGGGTTGTTACTCCCCCACCACCATTTTCTAGCTGTGTGGCTTTGGGCAAGTTGCCTAACCTCTCTGTTTCTCATTTTCCTCATCTGGGAAATTGGGATGATAATAGTATGTACCGCTTAGAGTTGTAGGAAGGGTTACATCAATCAATACAAGTCGTGCTTAGAATGGTGTCACGCATATAAGAAGAAACCAACTAATATTAGCTATTAGTGTTGTAGTTATCTATATGGTCAGTTCTCAAATGTGAGAGATAAATTGCCC